CATTATTTGGCTCATAACTCAGCACTGAATTGTATTTCCTTTCGTTTCTATTATAATTTTCAGATGACATTGGGTTCATTGGCGATATGTTCTCTCATCTGTTCCACTCTCTGTGGATTTCAATGAGTGAAGAAGAACGAAATTTCATTGGAGGTAAATTGCGGGCAGGCTCTCAAGGGAGCACTTTGTTCAATATTCAGTGATTGCCTGTAGCTCAGATGACGACGATTCTTCATTTTTATGATACTTAAGGATTGGCAGTGCCTTTTATGACATCGGGTGTGCATGTGCAACAAGCTCATGCTGTTCATCCAGTGATCAACATTCTCCTGGAAACCTTCTCACAGTGTAATCCACCAATTCACATTGATGCTAATGCGACTGAGGTAAACCTACTTTTCTCGGTCATCAGTTTGTAATTCCAATAGTGAAGATCCAATGTTGACAGTTCATATCTCGCTATTACCACTCATGGCATCGTGGGATTCTGTTGTTGGAAAATCGGGCCCTTTGTATACCACCCATGCTCAGCACTACAGTTGTTATGCAGCAGTCTCCTGAAGGGATCGTCCAGGAAAACATAGTTCGTTTCTTGTTCATTCCCTTTCTTGTCAGGTTTTTCCTGTAAGAAGTTTCCTTCTGAAATTCTCTCTTTGAAATTACGTCATTGTCAGGATGTGTTGACCTGCCTCGGCTTGCTCTATTCCGAACTTGCTGAGCAGGACCAATATGCTGCTGTGTGGAATCGTCGTGCACTTACAATGGATACGATCAAAATGCTGGCTCTGCAACAGCTAGTGCGTGAATTCATGCAGCTATCTCCCCTAGGACCAAAAATCTTGATTTTTAGGGTGACATAGAGGAGGCATTGGATTATGGACAGTCGGCTGCTCGTACTATGCTTCATAGGATGGAAAATCAGTTTGGAAAGAATTCAGTTAACGAGGCCAATTTCATGGAATACGAATTCCTGGATAATGCCTACATACAGTGAGTAATCTGTTAGTATCCAAAAAGAAACTTTCATTGGAACTCCTTTGTAAATAAACTTAGAGGTATATCTGCAGTCAAATCGTGGCTACTGGGATCAAAACATGAATTGGGTAACAACGCTCAGTCTGCCTACGAGGACCATGCGGCCGCGCATAGAGCGAGAAAGTCGCAAACAGTGCAGCGCGGTATTCATATGCTCACAGCAGGTGGTGTAGTGGCAAAGGGCCTGCTTTCTACGCGTCCGGGGGCAGAATCCCGGATCGGCTCCCGCTTAATGCAACCAAGCCTTCTACCCCTCGGAATGGCGGATTGGTACCAGATTCGTCTGGGAGCATGAGGAACTGACATATATTAGGTTGGCGGGAAAGTTCTGTCACATTTTTTTCAAATTAGACTACACCATACGTTATTATGAGATCCTTTCTGCAGTTTTTAACAGTCGCTGGATGCCATCGCTTAACAATGCACGCCGGCGCGACGCAAAGTTGGACATCATCTCAACTTTGACTTGGGCTCAAGTCGTGGAGGTTTTCTCGGCTGTATAACGGTTGAATACGGGAGGCGACTAGCAGTCAGAAAGAGCACAATTGGTCTCGTACACCGGTGCAAGGGGAGAGCCATCCAGCTCTATTGCATGAAGTACGGCTCAAACTTTTTTTGACGAGGTGTGCTGCACCAGCACGTTGAAGACGGACTGTGCCGGCGAATTTTTTCCCTCTGCTTGACGGTTCGCTTCAGATCTCGTAGCTGCCTTGCGTACGGATTGACCGAGGAGGCAGCTTCTTCATCCAGTAGTTTCCCGACCCACCGCTATCTAGAGCTGAGTTTACAGGTACTCCCGAACCTCACTTCGTCATTCGAACCGTTGGCTCCCGCTTCTTGAAGTAGCCTAGTTCGCCGGCGTGAAGATTGTCTGGATGACTGAAGACTTTATTGCTCCTTGTGCAGCTCCATTTATTTCCGGCAAATGAGCTGTCATCGTGACAGTGCCATGCATAGCTGCAGGGTGGTAGAAGAAATAGTTTAATGGAGCGGCCTTCGAAGAGTCGTCGGTGCTCAAAATAATGCGGAATAACATTCTTGTCCATAATGCAAATGAGGATGAACAGAAGCCGAGCCTGTTGACGGGATAGAAAGATTCAGTCCTTATGTTTAAACAATGCTCACATTACCGGTTAGCCTTCTTCAGGCAATAGGCGAATACTTGGGTTCAAAAAAGTATGGCAGAACTTTCCCGCCAACCTAATACATCGACTGGCCCCCGTGTGTATGTAAGCCACATCGCATTCAATAAGTCCAGTGCTGTTCTGAATGGAAGTAGAATGCGTGGTGCATCCAAAAAGGGACGGCGTAGACTTTATCCTTAACCTTATGGGATGGGGAGGGTTGAAAGCGATTCAAAGGTCTTAGCGTCTTTGCTACTCACTTCCGCATGAAACGATGGCCACACAAAGAAAGCACCGACGGCATAGCACGGCGGCTGTAGTCGCTGCAGCGATAAGCGGCGAAATGGAAGCAAAGGTCAGCCCCTACACGGCAATCCAAAGACCGCCGTTGAGTAGTTGAAGACAAACTATACACTCACATCCCAGGATAGTGATCGTTGCCATGGTAAGGAGACTGAGTCCGCTGCAGCTACCGTGCTTTTTAGTGCGCAGCTATAGAGTTGGAGGGTAGCGTTACCCTCCAGCTATCGCCTATCGTCTATGTTTCGCCCTCGCTATGGCGCGGTCCGCCGGGAGCCCAGCCATAGCCAAATGCGCTATTTATCTGCGCCCTCTCACTCCAGTTGTTCTGTACCGCGTGCATGTTTCGCTACGCAATCTTGGTATTGACGTAAGTGCTGCACACTGAGGTTAGCGCTGGCGGATCATGGAGACCCGATGCAGGAATCGCTACCATCCAGCCCTGTTTCGTGCTTTTCTGAAGTGTTGGGGAGTGGCAGCTGACCACGCACAAGGAAAAGTACCGTCCTCGGACATGGGTGTACAGTTTATCTTCGGTCGGAAAATACTGTGCATGTCCGAGTTCCAGGCAGACCGCTAGGTTATCAATCTCTTTAGATGTACGAAAGAATTGTGCCGCTGGAGAGTAGTGTGTGATATAGCAAAGAGTTCTCATGTCGAAAATCCGGAACTCCTTTTCGAAGCTGCAGTTCATCTTCCGGACTGGGGTCTTGCCAAGCAGTGCCGCGATCAGGTGCGCATACTTTAATTTCAATTTTTATCCTACTCTGTTCGTTTATTCTAATGTTTAGCTTATACCTTAGTATCGATCTTCTCCATTTGCTTTTAGATCATCGGCTGTGTACGCCCCTGAATTCGCCATTCAAAGCACTACGTATGGAGCAATGCTGGCAATTCTGGTGCGCTTCTTGTGAATTTTTTAGTTTTCCACTGGTACTACAGCTTCACCCCTCCCTACAAACAAAACGTAAACTGTTTCTTGGCCCTCAAGGTTAGTCAGTAATAGTCTGTTTGCCCCAAGGGGAGAAACCAGGAAGACATGCCGCCAGGAGGACATGCCGTCGCAGAGTTGTCTAGTTGATTCCCGGTTATATTAAGATATCATTTCCAAATCACTATCTCCACCAGGAGTCTGGCTTTCAGCCATCTTTGGAGGGAGGATGGGCTAAATGCAGAACATTAATGAGGCAGGAAGTTTATGATTCTGTATATTATGCCTAGAGTTCGTCGTCCGTTCTCTTTTCTGGAGGAGCTCATTTTTTTTCTCGCACGATATCCTTAACGATGGGAGACCCCAAGTGGAATGGGACTGGGGATGGGTCGCATTTGCTGGTCATTTTCAGAGGGAAGTCGTATTTTGTAAGAATTTCCCCAGTAACAGGTAGCGTCCTTAGCGTGGTGTAGATGACATAGTGTGCCTCAGCTCATTTCATACAGTTACTTCTGCAGCTAGAGGAGAGGTCATCTAGTTTTAAACGAGTTTGGAGAGGCCGCGTATCAAAAAATTCTTGAACTATGTCATTACTAATTTTCACGTTCAATGAACAAAGGGAAACAACTAAGTTCACTAGTGGTCTGCACTGCCAGCATGACGTTCTTGTAGAAAGATATGCTTAATGGACTGTTTCATGGAAATTTTTGAGGAATGCCAAGACTTCCCATAGAAAAGTTATTGGACTTTTTTTCAAATTTTTTCTCCTTTTTTCATGTCCATTTTTAGGGTGATCCGGAAGACGTTCCTGCCACACATCCAAAGAAAATGGTGGAAGAAGTCACCCAAGCCTTAGTGGTAGGCTGGAGAGTTTTGCCTCCAATTCTGACATCGGCGCACACGAAACTCCTGCAAGTAAGAATCTCCATCGTTCACGCTACTGTTTTCTTCCTGCTATAACCATTTGCACCCCAACCAATTTCACCGATTCAGCAAATGACGATGATTCGTGAAGTGGGAGATGTACTCGATCTGAAACGTGCACTTGATGCTGGAAATCAGAATTGCGGTGCTGTCATGCAAGAGATGAAAACGGTCATTAAAATATGGAGGTTTGTTTAGGTTTAGGAATTCCTACTCGCTTCTGTTCCGAGTATTCTTCCTGAAAATTTATTCTGTAGATCACGTACCTATTCGCTATCCGATGACATGTCGTTTATCTCGTTGATGTATGATTGGCGAAGTCAAATTCACACCATGATGGTGCAACAATTCCACGAGTGGGAACGTAGTGGGGTCAGTAAGTCGTTGTTTCCTTCATTGCGGCCTAACAGGGCAAACGATCTTTCAGTATTCGCATTGCCAGGGGTCATTAAGTAGCGCATCACCGAAGCTTTTTCTGCTAGATCCAGAAGTACAGGCATGAACGGAACTTCATTACACGGAAGACTGAACTTCATTTTCCTGAACGGCTCTAGATTGCAAAGTCTCAGCTTCGCTGCCTATGGCTGTCCTCCTGCACCCTTAAAAAGACTGCCCTGAAAGAACGCTCCAAACTGCGAGCTTCAAGCGTCCGGAGGTTATTTCTCCTCTGTTACTGTAGATATTGCAGATAGTGATGCCTCCGGGCATGAATCCACAATCGATTCTCCCGATTCACTCGGCAGCTACAGGACAGCTGTTCTTGGCAAGAGCAGCACGAGAAAGGGGAATGGATCAAGTGGCGATCAGAACTCTGAATAAGTACGATTTCGAGTTCACCGTATCTTTTGAAATCTTCGATAAGGATTTCAGGCTACATACACTGATTACACTTCCAATGATGGATTGTCATCAAAAGATCATTGATCACTTGAAAACACTGCGAAGAATGGCCAAGAAACATACGACCACTGCACAGCAGAAAATGGATCTTCTCCAGGAAGTATGAACTTCCACTTTATTTCTTTCGAGCGAATTATTCGAATAGATCTGTCTTAGGCTCTACTGATGACTGAAGCTGCTCGTATCGAAGACTTCTCTCGTGATCAGTGCTGTCGTCTTTTCTATCAAAAGGGCTCCATTCTCAGCCAGTTGGACAAGTATGCACCAAAATTTTGGTCCATTTTTCTTCTGTTTAAAGTGGCACGCTTAGGGATAGCTGGTTTCGTAGTGTGAGCTATATAAGGCAATAGCGCGGTATTGAAACGGACAAATCCACGATGTATCGACGGAGGGGGGGGGCATCTTGTATTATAGTTGCTTCCCTGGTTCCGGTTTACAAATCTCACTGGTAAAACTCTGACGTGAACGCTTGTGAAGCTGGAGCAAGATCGTCTAGCCACCATCCTAAAACGTGTCAACTCGAAAAAAGGGTACCTAGATGGGTTGGCAAATCTATGAAAAGCAGAATGCCCCCCCCGTCGATAAACAGCGCCCACAGAAAATGTCATTGAGCTGTGAAGACAGGAAATAGCGCAGATTCTGGTGAGATGTCAGTGACGGTCGGAGGCACCTAAAGAACATGGAATATGATGGCTGAGGTTACGGCGAAAAGAAGGATACTGCGGGAGATGGAAGGGAGAGAGTCATTTTCGAACGTAAGCATGGCGCTGCTAGGTGCCTAAACAAACGGAAGTTTAACGGAGGTGGCCTACACCATTGGGTGGGATCCTGCTCCTACTTTTGGCAGGTTATAACCAAGTCTTGGGGTGAACGTTGGAAGCTCGCGTGCTCACTTTCGCCTCAGCGGTAACGCGCGAAAAAGGGAACGGGCCAACGTTGTTCCACGGTAGTCCTAAGACAGTTTCTGGCACCTTGCAGATGAGTGATAAACAACAGTAGGGTAAAGGAGAAGGCGAGAAGTAATGGGTGCTAACCAATTAACAGCATTGAGACGTGCATAACAGCTGAAAAGTAAATTTGAAGAGTAGGGGAAATAGTTTCCGAGAGACATGCTGATTGAGTACCGATTATATCCGCAACGGCGCGTTCCGGCACTACCGAAATTATGGGCTGACGATGAGCTAGTCTCAAACAGAGTGATGTCAGTGCTCGATCTTTCATCGCACCATCACCGCGGCATCGCTCGGCACCCGCCGTGGGCGCGCCGAAGTGGAATTTTTCTCTCTCCCGGTCAGTGCGCCCTCCCCCCCCCTCGTCCTAATGGCTGCGGCTCGGGAAGTGTCTCAAGATTAGATCTGAAATGGAGCGCGGTAGCAGAATATGCCATCGCCCGATCTAAAAAGTACACACTTTCAACTCAGAAGTAGAAACAAGGACTGTTACAAAAACTATTACAGGAATGCCGGCTGGCTTCAGCTGAGATAGTAGGAATATGTCTCGGTAGCGCACTCGCCCAGTAATTGTGAGGTGAAGGTTTGTGCCCTGCCTGGGGTCAAGTCTTTCCCATAACTGATCATTCTTGTGACACCTTTCTGAATGGGAGCACAAACTGCAATGGTAAATATCAAGTATCATAGTAAAACAGCTACGAATAGCGTGGGCAAAGCGGTGATGGCCTAAGCGAATGTTCATGCATATTTGCAGCAGCGATCAAAGGCATATGGCACGATAATTTGGTACTCGTCCGAAATGCTAGCAGGGTGCTATATAGTGGGGAAAATGGCGAAAAAACGAAGTGAAACGGTCAAAAACCTGCGAAGAAAAGCCTTCGTTCTTAATGACTTGAAAAGCAATTTTGGACGAGTTTCCCGTAGAAATCTTGGCAAAAACCACTCGGTAGTTACGGCTACACTTATGTACTCATACATCCATGCAGCACCGCGGCCGCTTCATATCAATCCCTTCGCTTCATATTTGTACTTCGCAAATGAAGCAATACGAGCACCAAAGTCGTCCATTTGTGGGCGGGCGGGGCGGTGGGCGTCCGGGTCGGTATGTTGCAGCTTGATAGGGCCTTATAAGGGTACCTTCCTTGGAAAAGGCGCTACGCAGCGTCTGCTCAGGGGCGTGGGCTTGCGTCCTTCTGCTCAGAGGCATGGGCTTGCGTCTTGTCAGGCGTATTAATCCTATCTATCTTATGGTTGGAGAGTTACCGTTTAAACTTACTTTAAATGAGTCTATGACCTTTGCAACAATGCTGACTTCGACCGGATGACTACTGCTTTGAATCTTTCTTTTTTTTAGGAATGACGATGCCATGCATGCGTTCTCTGCTGCGGCTACCATGGTTGATCCAACCAGCTCTCCACAACTGAACACGGCTTGCAGTATGTTCAAGAATTGGGCGCATCATCTGGATAATTTATTCTTCAGTGAAAAGTGAGTGATTCCATATTGGAACTAACTATTCCAACACCGACATTGACCTAGTTTTAGACACGAGGCGTCTGCGTTATCTCGTGGCTTACCGGCAATCAACTGCTACATCGAAGCGGCTAGAGTAGAAAATGAGACGAGGGCGCGTAAATATATCGCCAGGTATGACATCTCTTTCGTTAGCCAAAACTTGAAGTACCAAAGTGGGGAAGTGGTAATAAGCTCGGAATAATGATCGCATTAGAACGTTGTGTTCCTGAGACTTTTCTTGTGGATAAATCATCTATGAATGCTCCGGAACACTAATTGTGAAATGCGTTGCTTTTCTCATTAGAGCGAGGAATCTTGAAAGCATTAGAGAATTTTTTGACTTCATCGTGAAACTGTGACAATGTGACATCCCCATGACATCGCAGCAGGAAAGGTTACTCGGAAATGGAAAGGTTACTCGGAAATCGAAGCATTATTGAGGATGGGGAATATGTCTTGTGAAGTCTGAAGCTAGACAGTTTTTTGTAAGAGTGGTAGTTGAATCGAAAGGGGTCATTGGCGAGGCAGCTGTTGAGGAAAGGGAAGGAGTGACCAACTTTCTTCTTCATGTTGTGTGCCTGGACCTTATCACAGCTCTAGTGTCCTTCGAGAGCGACGTATAAACTCGAAAATTCTCGTAGTAGTAAACTTGAATGAGATCTTCTAGAGATTTATGAGAAAGCTTCATTATGTTGAAAAGACGACTAATAATTGTCATGAACTCCTTACGAGGAATCTTCTCAAAGAAACTGTGCACGCACCTCCGCGGACGTCGTCGCCATAGTAGCTGCAGTAGCGTGCCAGTTCCAGACAGAGTGCCGTCTCCGAGCTCTGCCGCACTCAAACGGCGCAGGTTGCCGAGGGGGGGGCATTTTGCATTTCGTTGCTTCACTAGTTCTGGTTTACAAGTTTCTGATGAAAACCTGTGAACTCGTAGCAAGCTCGTCAAGCCATCATGGTAAAACCTGTCAACTCGAGAGGAGGCTGTCTAGATGGGTTGACACGTCGATGGGAAGCCGTTAAAGTGCAAAATGCCCTCTCCCCGTCCCGTCGCCAAACAGCGCCCACTCAAACTATAATTGTCAAGCAGACGTGAGAGTGCGCAGACAAGTAACGCGTTTTGCTATGGTTGGCGTGTGGCTGGCCTTGCGTCTGCGCTAGCGGATAATGGGGACAACACCCGGGTATTACTACCCTGCGGCTCCGCTCGCGTGCAGTTTCGAGCTTGAAAAAGCGGCACGCTACTGTAGCTACGGTTCTCTTTATCTCACGCATGGCAGAAACCAGGGTTTACGGAGGTGAATGTACTTTCTGCTTCAGGTGACTGACCAAGATCCTAGAGGTTTGGGTGAAATTGCTTGGCTTCATGTTTTTTTTTGCAGAATCTTATGGACAGCAAAGCATGTGGTAGCATCTGGAATATACGCTGCTGCTGGTTTGGATGGTGTACTGAAGGAACGATCCCGATCCATAGTGCCTTTCAACTGGCTTCCTTGGTAAAGTTCTCACTTCCTCATTCAGGTGACTTTCAGAGATATTGATACTGTCACACTCATACTACCTTTAGGCTGCCGCAACTTATGACTGAACTTCAAGAGCGGCCCAATTCTGGATTCACTTCTATCGTGCAGAGAATAGCTGCTGCATATCCGCTGCAGATAGTGTCAGCTCTCCGGCCTTTGCTAGATCCTATTTTGATTGATGAAGTGATCGAAGCTGGTAAGATGGTCATAATTCTGCACTGGTCAGGAATTTTAGTCTATCCCAGGATTGCTGGAATATGGACAAAAGGCTTGACCTCAAGAAGGGCTCAAGCCTGCACCTCACGCTTACCGATTGAAAGTCATTAAAGGGAGGTGGCATGATAAATTGCCAGGGAATGTAGGGTAGATGCGCCTAACAAGAACCTAATCAGGGGCAACACGCCGACCCGGACGCACATCGAACCGCACGACCGCAGACGGCTGTACAGCCACACCGATGCTGATGCCCTTATCGCTTCACTTGGAAAGTATCTTCATCTGCTAGCTTGATGGGAACGGGAGACCCGTCCGAAATTGCTGTCTGCTAGCCGTATACTCGTTCAATGGCGTGCAGAACAAATTTTTTTCGCAGGTCCTCAACAGTTCTCTCTGCCTTTTCGTCACTTGCCTACGAGCGAATAACAACTATCGTGCCTCACGCCTCTGAGCTGAGCAGGTAGAAGGGGGTCCTGGTCGTATAGAGGTAGCTCTATTAGCGTAGGTTCGAGTCCACCAAGAGTCAAGCCTTCCGTTCATTTGTTCAGCTTTTGTTATGACTTCATAACTTTCGATGCGCCACACACAACAACAATCAATAGTACAACTTTGACTACCTCTAGTAACATAAGCTTTCAGTCGCCAAAAATGCTCCGGTGCCATCGTTCCCCGACGACCACAGGTGTGCTGCGCTCTGCAAAGTTCTAGAGAAAGCTTGTAGGACTCGACTGACGGATGTTCGAGTAAGATCCATTCTCCAGCCCTATATTCTAGAAAATTTTAGATTGTACTGAACTGTAGAACTCGTTTCAGATGTGGAATCGCTTACTCTCCGGGTTCTCTTCCATGCGTGAATTCTGGGCTGAACGGCATATTAGATACGCTTCACAGCTAAAGAGCGAGATCCTCAGGTACGGCTTATTTTCCGCTTCTCATTTGGTCATTACTTATTCCAGCGTTTAAGGTGTCTTTACAACGCTCGGGAGACACGCCTGGAGGCAGCGTCGCTTGACGAACGGGCACTAATAGCCATATCGTTGTGGTGTGCTGAACTGAAGCGAATCAATTTTGATGACATTATACACGAGCATGAGGTGCCATCTTCATCTCGGCACGCTCTTCCTCTACAAACTGAAGATCAGGTAAGGATGATGGTGTTGATAATAGCTCACAGTGAGCTTTTGTGCAAGCGGGCTTTGACTGCTTGCCCATTGCTTCTTGAACTTAACGTCTGGACTTCTGTGAATTTTAGTTTGTCGATGAAATCCGTACTGAGGTTCTCGAGATGCTCGATGTGACTCCTCTCCCTGAGGGGTCAGCCTTGTTGAAACTAGCTGAAAGTGTAATCAAGTGGCAAACCAAATTGCACAACCGGCTTTACTCGCTACCGAGGTACCACAAATTACTCATTCTGAAAGGTACATTCTCTCATGTAATTTTGCAGGCGATATCCTATTCGGTTGTCCAGCAAATTCTTGGCTGACTACAGTAGCGCTATGGCTTGTATCGAAATTCCGTCTTCGTTCAATGCCAATATGACGAAGGTAATTTCGCTCACGGAAAGGAGATTTCAACTAATGTATCAATCAATTTAGCAATACCAATACGTAACGCTGATAGCCCGATTCAATCCTCATGTGGAAGTCGTTGTCAAAGGTGGTCGTGTAATGAAGAAATTGCAGATTATGGCGGTGAATGGAAAGGTAAATTATTACTGCTTACATCGTATTACTGCTTACAATGTCCGAAAATCTTGTGAGAAAGGCCGGCAGTGGTTGTTTAGGCAGTTTGTGCAGTGGGTAAGGGAGATTTCGTAGTCGATAAAGTGTCGGTATCCGTCCCGGGTGAGGCGGAGGTGGTGTAGTGACAAGTGGCGCGCTTACCACTCGCGCGGCGCCGGGTTCGAATCCCGGGTCGACTCCCGCCCAGGCCAACCAAGCCTTCTACCCTCCGGGGACGGTAAATTGGTACCAGATTCGTCTGGGAGGATAAAACACTGACTTGTACATCGGCTGGCCACCGCAAGTCATTGTATAGGCCACATCGCATTCAATAAGCCACTACGATTCTGAATGGAAGTAGAATGCGTGCCGCATCCCACAAAGGGATTGATCAACGGCGAAGACTTTATCCTTTTATCCGTCCCGGGTGAAAGGGCGACCGATTTGCTGCAAAATGAGGCTCCAACCGTGACCCGGGGGTGGTCGCTTTAGATAGGGGGTCTAGGAAACCTGTTGTGCATTCACTAGCAGGCAGATCACGTTCGAAACTCGTTGTAAGATGGCAAGGTAACAGGTATGACTTTACTATGAACCACGATGTAGTAAGCTTTACGCGGCGCAGTTTGTCGACGGGGGGGGGCATTTTGCTTTCCATAGATGTGTCGACCCATCTAGGTAGCCGTTTCTCGAGTTGACACGTTTTAGGATAGTGGCTAGACGATCTTACTTCAGCTTCACAAGAGTTCACAAGTTTTACCAGAGTGAGATTTGTAAACCGGAACTAGGGAAGCAGTGATAGTACAAAATGCATCGACAAACAGCGCCGCTTTACGCCTCTGAAGAAAACAGCAGAACAAGCCGTCAAAGCTCAAGCGCATCCCTGACATCATGCGGGTTGCCAACGCTCAGTGCAGTCTTTTCCTGCCGGACTCTTGCTAGTGGGACGATATCGGCGCCTACTTTGCATCTCCCAACGCATCTGATTTCTCGTGCGGTGGCAGAATAGATGCAAGCGTTTACCGCACCTCAAGTCTGCGATGGTGGTGGTATGGACATATCGGCGGTGGGAAGAGCCCCCTTAACTTTTCTAACCATCGACATCGTTGCCATGTCTTGCCGCGTCACGAGAAAGGCAACCTCATGTCGACTGTGGAAAGCAGAATATCCCGTGAAGAGCAATGTCTTTCTTCAGGTGGTAGAGCACATGCCTTTGAGGGGGTAATTTTCCGTAGCGTCTTTCAAGTGTGGGTCATTTAAGGTGTCTTTCGTAGGCACACAGGATTACAAGGACTGTTACTGTGACTATTATTCTCATATACCCTGACGATTGACTAAATCCTCCCTTCAGAAGTAGGAAGTGAATAATTTGTCTTTTTAGACCTGTGTGTACTATCTGCAGCGGTCTGTGTTCGAGGAGAAAACGAATCGTTGTCAGCAGTACTTGCAGATAGTGAAAACATTACTCGTCAAAGAAAGGGTCAGGTTTCATCGTTCTGCTCGCCCAGTCTGCTGTATGGTCAAAAGTGATTTTCAGGAGACTGCACGTAGACATCTTTCCATTTTCACACCTACACAACTCGTTGTCTCATCACACGCTTTGCTAGTGGATTGTGGTGGTAAGAGTTTTCCGAATTTCTTTCAGAAAATCAGTTTTCTCACAGTGTTTCAACCAGGTGCATATCCAATGAGTCTTGTTGCGAAGAAGCCCTACATATTTGGTGTGATTCGGCCATTTGACGTATTTGCGCGATATGGAATGACGTTTGGTATGAGGCCAGACGATGCGATTACGATGTTCTACGATCGACTGGTCACTCCTGAAGGATCTCCTCAAACCGTAATGCTAGACACATACAGGTACAAAGGCGCAATTTTAGCAGAAGATCGAGCTATATTCGCAATTAGAGGCAGGGGTGATGTAGTGGAAAGTGATACGGTTGTCACGCGCGCGGTCCGGGGGTCGGCTCCGGACCAGGCCGACCAAACCTTCTGTCCTCCGGGGGCCGTAAATAGCACAATACTCACTAGGGAGTATAACAACCCTGGCTTTGGACGCTCCCCGCAAGTCATTGTAAGGCCGTAGTGAATCCAATAAGCTACTCCCATCTGAATGAAAGTAGAGTGAGCGCCGAATCCCAAAAACGGATCCATCAGCGGCAAAGTCTTTACCATTTTATCTACGATTCGCCAGAAAGATGTTGTATTATGAGAAATGACTGTTACTGTAGCCCGCGCGCTTGATTTAGATACCAATTTTTGGAGTGGTTTTACTTCCCATGATGTACCGCCTCTGGTACTGCCCGTCAGCTCGAGGAAGGGGTGGACTCCAATAGCAGCATGGAGTACTGTAGCGACTTTCTCCTCCCTGCGAGAGTTCTCTTCTTCCTGCATAACTAGGTCCGTTTAGGGAAAAATACCGTTGTTACCACTAGAATCGGTCGGAGTGTAGGAGCTGGCACAGCGCCAGCTTCTTTTCCATCACTCATCGACCGCTCGAAGCCGCATCGATGAAAACGAGCTGGCACAGCTCCAGAGCCCACGCCCAACTGACACGCCCCGACTGACTTTAGTGATAACAAGTGTGTATAGGTGTATGAGACGTAAATTATACGCTCGGCCGCACCGGCTCGCTAGCGCAAAGCCTTCAGCAGGTATTGCGTCCATTCGGTACTCATTATTCATTATTGCAGAAGCTTCATCATTGACAATTTTGTTGGACCATCGATACTGAAAAATTATGTGGTGGAACGTTTCACTGATGCCACCTACTACTATTTGTTCCGAAAACGAGTATGTGAGAAGTTTCTGGCTTCTCTTCTAGTATCAACTTCTCGTCATTTCAGGTAGCGCAGCAACTTGCTGTGCTGAATGTGCTGGAAATGGTCATGCGTCTGTCGCCATTGTTCCTTGAGGATGTGTCCATTCGGACATCGACTGCTCAGCTGGCTACTCCTCGATATAAGTTCACCATTGATGAAGGTAATTACTTCACACTTATTCTTTGAGCTGTCATCCACTTATCTCTGGCCCTATATCATTTACTCTATTTCCTGTAGACTCTGAACGTATTGTTCCGTTCCGATTGACACCGAACTTCCAGTGGTTCCTTGGAATGACAATAGAAGGTATTTTTTTGGAAAAATAATTTTGATATTTTTTGTTGTTGCGTTGTTTTTCTCACTGGCAACACCTTGCATTTCACATGTCGTTGAACATGTAGCAAACACTTTCAGCTTTTATTTTTTCCGTTTTCTGCCTTGAAAATTGGAAACGCTGGGCTGGGGGTTGAATGAGGGTAAAGTTTCCGCCGTAGATCGGACTTTTGATGTGCGCCACGCATTCGACTTCAGTTGAGCATAGTAGTGTTGACGATGTGGCCTATACAATGGCGTGCATAAGCCAGCCGATGAGCACTCGCAAGTTCGTTCTCCCAAGCGGAATCGATATCACTTCACCGGCACCGAAGGACGAGGAACACGGTTGGTTCGGGCGCAGGTCGGTTCAGGATTTGACCACGGACCGCGCACGTGGAAAGGTGGCCGTTCGCAACTACATCTCTTCCGCCCCGATATTACCTCGGTTATGCGAGGCTACGAAACTTTTTTACGATTAGATTTGGCATATGCCCTAAAGATTCACTTGTGGGCAGTAATGTAGAAACGAAGCCCAAAACTCAAAACGTCCTTATACTGCGCCTCAGATCAGCGCGAGTATAAGGACGCTTTGAGTTTTGGGCTTCGTTTCTCATTACTTATGACCCCAGCATTCAAAACTCATAGCCCTGCTCCCGATAGGAAGCTGCGGAGCTTCCACTCGTCCTCATTGTAAGCAGGCTAAATCTCAGTGGTTATGCGAGGTCGAGAAATCCTTCCACGACTTTATATGACTTGGAGTAGCCTAGCCGTGAACAATTATAGGCAGTTGGTACGATAAATTCTCCAAGACGACTAGGATCAATACGCCTGGCAGGACGGAATTCCGCGACCCTGAGCAGGCGCTGCATAGCGGCTTCTCCAAGGAAGGTGCCCTTATAAGGGCCCTATCAAGCCACAACATTCCGACCCAAACGCCCGCCCGCCCACAAATGGACGACCGTTCCTGACGCTCTAATCGATTCATTTGCTAAGCAAATTATGAAGCGAAGGGATTGGTATGAAGCGGCCGTGATGCTGCATGGATATATGGGTACACATATGCAGCCGTACCTTCGGTAGCGGTTATTGGCAAGATGCCTACGGGAAACTCGTCCAAAATTGATTTTGACACATTGAGAACGGAGGCTCTTTCTTCGCAGGATTTTGACCGTTTCACTCCGTTCTTTCGCCATTTCCCCACTATATAGCGCCCTACTAGCATTTTAGGCCGAGCACCAAATCATCGTGCCAACT